TTTCTGTATTTTTGGTCAAATAAATGCAGCCTTGATGAACAGAAGTGACTTCTTTAAAACACATTGAAACTCTTACTGATCCCAAACTTTTGAACAGCAGTGTGAATGCATATATTTGAAACTCATCTAGAAAAACATGAATTTATATAACTAAAATCATTATAGTGCATATACTGAAACACTGCTTCAGCCCCCCAGCAGTGACTGCTGTTAAAGACTCGAGAAGCGACTGCACTACTCTGACCTTCGACTCGTTCCGTCATTTATCAGCTAAACGTGATCTCTTTTACACCCCGTTTAGGAAACATTTTGACACCCCGTTTCTGACCAGTAATGCCACACCCGCTTTATTTGAACACTTTTCAAAACGGTAGTGAGAACAGAATTTCCTGAAAGCAAGCAGTTTGGGTGCTGCAAACCCCAGAGAAAGCAAGCGTAAGCTCTCTGCAAACGAGGAAAAGCCTCTCACCTCGTGTCTGAAGGAGGTCAATCTCTTTGGTTAAACAATCAATATCGATCTGCAGAAGTCTATTCTTACACCTCAACTGCTGCATCTCCTCAATCTGAAAATAAGTAGAAATAAATACATGAAACTGAATTGTTGTTCTTTTACAATATGCAACAAATGTATTTAACAGTCTATGAAGTGTTTGTTACCTTGCATCAAGTCCATCACGATACTAGATACTAGATCTACACGATGTTATTGATAAAAGACATGCTCTGACAGTACGTGGATTAAATATTTCTCCTCAGCATATTGAAGAGAGTCATAGTCAAACTGCTGTGAGAGCAAATACTGCGAGAGATGAGAAGTGCAGCGGTGCGGTGACTCACAGACGGGATCTGACAGACGGAGTTGGAGCGCTGCAGTCGTCTCCTCGTCAGGTCGTTCTCCATCTCATTGACTTCCTCTTTCAGCTTCTCCAGCTTTCTCTTCTTCTGCTCGAGTTCGTGCCACAGTCGCTGCATACGTGCTCTCTGATGCACCAGCAAAGCTGCAAGTTCACATGCACCGTCGTCAGACACCAGTCGAGTTTCATGACAAAACTAATCACACACAAAACAACACTGCAGAACATCTGATCAACTAGACAGAACGTGATAAAACAGCATTCCCATTCAGCATACACAACTCCCATAATGTGAAGTATCGGAGAAAACAAGGTAAGAGACAGACACATCAGGCAGGACATGAACTCGTGGACTGGACTGTATGATAAGGTGGTGAATGAGAGTTCACAGTGGACTGTGGAGGCCAAATTACTGTGTTTGGTATTAGATGCATTACTCGACCTACAATAATACATTAAAACAATACCCATCACCATTCAACACTTGTATTTCCAATAGGACTTCTAACTTCATTCAGACAGCCTCTTATACACTAATGCACTGATCTATTTTGACATATCGGATATTTTGTCCAATCTGGTTACAACCTCTTAAGGACATACTTTTTACAGATTTTACATAATATACAGGTGCATCTCAATAAATTAGAATGTCGTGG